AAATCACATCAGAGCCTGTTTTAGTTTCTACCTATGGAGCCGGGGCCAATTACACCTTAATTATTTGTTCTTTCAATTTAAATAATGTTACTTCGTGTTTCAAAGGTACAAGAGGAAAGCAGAGCATACAGCAAAGCACATTCTATAAAACAGAATAAGTGAGCCGAACAACATTTCCCCCAATTATAGATATGCCTCACCCCTTTAAAACTAATAGACTATGTAATATACCATCCTTAATATGTCCTGAATGTATTGTTCTTGGTCTCAAAAACAGAGCAGCCTCTCTCTCATGAAATCTTGCTGTTGAAATGGCTGAGTTTGTACCATCTCAATGCCCCATGAAAAAGCTTAATCAAAGCAACTAAACCTCTTGACTTGCTGCTGATTCCACAGCACTTTTTATGAAGTGATACCACTTTTATCTGTCATCATTTATTCAAAAAGGTAAATCAAAAGCATAAAGTAGTCTCATCTTACTTTTTGCCTGCAGGAGATGTCCTTCTCATTGGTTAAGCCATAAAGTCTTGCATCAGTCAGAGACAAACTAGGTGGCCATCCTGAGTCTGTATTCTCCTTTGTCTATGTATGAAAGTTGCTTTTGCGCAGGTTACAATCCAGTATCAAAACCAGAATTTTGAAAAAGAAGAGATTTGTCTTTAACAACTCTTGAGACAAAGTAGCACACTCTCTTTTTAGAAAGGTGCAACATTTTTAATTGCTGATCAGAAAGCTAATCTATTAATAGTAACTATCTGTTAATACTATTAGGCTATTAATTTATCTGTTAATACTGTTAATCTATTCATACTAACCAAGTAATCTGAATATATCACTAATGCCTCTTGGTGTGGAATTTATCTAAAAGCTGCTAAGATGATTAATACCAAGGATTTTTAAAATTTGAACGCTATAAATACATTGTAATGTTTGTGTTTGTAAGGTCACAGTTTTCTCACAGTTTCCAAAATGTTTCTCTCTAATTGTGTCCCAGAGCATAAATATTATAACGAGATTTTATAAACCTTGAAGCTCAGATCAGAAGAGGAGAAAAGGGGAATTATTTGGGGACACGAGCAGTTAGAAAAACAACATACCTGTTTATAGTAATAATAAAAGGTCTTCAAATATTTACATATGTTAAATGTAATAAGCAGCAGCAGAATGTTAAGGGAGGGGGCTCTTATACTGAGAATATTTCTTTTATTAGGTGCCACTGCTAGTATACAGGCTATGCAAGCTCCAATGTATTCCCCTGTAACAAAGCAATATGATCAGAACATGATATGTTCATAAACACAGCGAGTGAAAATGATGCTTTATCTTCACAGTTTAACTCCCAGTGTCATTTCAAATCAGTGTAATTAAAACACTAAAATTCTCTGTGTGGCTGCTCTTCTTTTGACTTAAATCAAGCATATTTCAGTTTAAAATAAGTAATTAAGATATCAGTTCCAACTAGACTGCAATAAGCAACGCTTCAGCTTAAAAGGTTCACAAAAACATTGGGTCAACCCTAAAGAACTTCCCAGGAATAGGTGGCACATTGGCTAACACAGTTAAAGCCCGTAAGTTTTTGTTGCCTATGACAACAAAACAGCGTAGTTAGGATCACACTTTGCCACCGACAGCTCTCAGGCCTAAGTAATTAGGTTCTTATTTACAACTGTACCACCAGGATGCAGCTTTTGCTAAATTCATAGCAAGGCTCTGATTCATCCCTCTGGGGTCAGAGCCAGGTATTTTACCCGCTCCACTCTAATGCTCTCAGAAAAGGTTTAACGCCATCTCAACCACATCTGTGTAATTTTTTTTTTTTTTTGGTTAAAATGATATGACTTTGGTGTGGGGGAAGGAAGGAAGTGGCAGAACTGCACATACCCCGGGAGCTAGCCAAATAATAATTGAAGAACCCCAAATTTCAGGAGTCCCTGCAGCTTCCTGTGAGGAACAGGGTCGGAGGAGCTTGAATTGCTTTTCTCAGAGGAAATGGTAAACATAACGGGGATGCAGAGCTAGCATGAGCCAGACCAAAGGTCTGTTTAACCTAGGAGCCTGTTTTCCAGTAACAGATGCTTAAGGAAAGTGGATTAAAAACAAGGCATATATGAAACAGATATTCCCCTTGGCATGGCCTCCCAGCTTCTGAGGAGCAGTGCTTCAGAAACTTCCTGAGCTGCAACTGCATTGAGTTTGTTGTGCTTAACAGTCAGAGATAGATCAATCCTTCATCAGTTTGTCTTGTCCGTTTATGAATGGATTTCTACGTTGCAGCTCCACAGCCTCTGATAGTTATTTGCACAGCTGAATGAAACACTGGGTGAAAAATAACGTTGGTTTCGTAGCTGTTTCAGTTTTCGCTGGATGCCCCTCAGCGCTGCGGAATTGTGAATAATGATGTCTTCTTGCATTCTCCAGGCCGGTCACGACGCGGTGGACCTCTGCCGTACCCCTCTGAGCGCGCCTGGGCAGGCGGCCGAGGCCTGCTCCGGTTCGCCTCGCGGCCCTCCGCGGCAGCCCCTCCGGGCTCACCGTATCCTTCCCGAGGGCGGGGGCGGCACTGGGGGGCCGGGCACCGGCTTTCCTCGGGGCGCC